GAGAGAGAGCGAGAGAGCGAGAGAGAGAGAGAGCGAGAGAGCGAGAGAGGGAGAGAGAGAGAGAGCGAGAGAGACAGAGACACAGAGACACAGAGAGACAGAGAGACAGAGAGAGATGATTCGAATACCATATAGGTGGTTATAGTTAATACCATATTGGTGGTTAGGTGGTTATAGTTGTACTGACGCCGATCTCATAACGCTCACAACAATAATGATGAATGTATGTATGTTTGTATTACAGGCCTAGAGAGGGCGCTGGCAGAGAACAGAATACCTCAAGGTTACATATCAGTGGAGAATGTGTGTCGGTATCCGTCAGAACCACCCGATCACTACGGCAGTAAGTTATCTCTCCTCCATCCTCCTATTTCTCCTCCTCCTCTGCCCCTCCTCCATCCTCCATGCTCCTATTTCTCCTCCTCCTCTGCCCCTCCTCTTCATCCATGCTCCTATTTCTCCTCCTCCTCCATCCTCCATGCTCCTATTTCTCCTCCTCCTCCTCCTCATCATTATCACACGTACATCATAGATTAGTTAGTTGCTATACCAACGAAAAGTCCTCTCTGATCGATCATTACGGATGTCTGCTCACCAACGTGGCGCCACCTCTTGGCAGGTTTCCTAATCACGTTGTTTCGTTCTTCAGGCGATTCGTCACCACTGCACTGGCACAGCGGCGGCGGCAGCAGCGGCTACAGTAGCGCCACCTTCCCACGGAAGCAGACGTCGACGATGACGGCGTCGGAGACGGTGCGATGGAGCACAGGCTCCCTCGACATGAACCAACCTTATTCCAAAGGTAGGTGTCGCCACCGGTCAGCGGCTAGCAGCGAGTTGTCTTTGTTCTCACCCGTAATGGTGAAGCCAAAAAATAGTTAAGGGTTAGAAGTAAAGTTAGATCTTAGAGGTTAAAGTAAAAGTTAGTCGTAAATCTTAAAGCGTATGTGAACCTTTACCTACGGTGTGTTTATTGAAATATATACATAGTTGGGTTCACACAGGTTTTAAGTTAAAGGTAAAGGTAAAGGTAAGGTAAAGGTAAAGGTAAGGTAAAGGTAAGGTAAAGGTAAGGTAAAGGTAAAGGTTGACGTTCTCTTATTTTTCCCTCGCGCAGATGTAGATAATGCGGACGCGTCGCCGGCCGTCGACGCGGGCGAGGCACGAACAAGCGAACGTTCCGGCGGCGCGCGGCAGCACCATCACACGTCGTCGTCGCTGCGTGGGTCAGAGGCCGAGATCCTGCGGTTACGCGGATCAATAGAACGCGAGTCGCTGCGTCCCGTTCCCGTCACCTTCGATGTATAGTTCAGTTCACACACACACCCCCTGAAGAAGGAGAAGAAGTTCCCAATCCAAGTCACCTTCGATATATAGTCTTCACACACACCCCCCGAAGAAGAAGAAGAGAGAGGAGGAGAAGGAGAAGAAGGAAAAGAAGTTTCCCGACAAAGAAGAAGAATGAGAGATCGAAGAACAGTCGATATTCTGTGAAGAGAGAGAGCGCGAGAAAAACGTGTCTGGTCACACAATGAGATGATTTCGGTGGGGGCGGGGGCGGGGCGAGAGGGGGAGGGGAGGAAGGTGAGGGGGCAGGGTGGGTTCGGGAGCAGAGGCAGGGGAGGGGAGGGGGCTCGATTTGTTTAGTCAGGCGAAAATTTCCGTTTCGCGTAGTAGACGCGAGGTGTCCGGGGGCGAGGAGGACCTGCGTTTCATCATTCGCGATTCATCATCGAATTAAAAAGCTTTAACCAAATCCGACGTCGGCATGGATACCCGTTTACGCCACCAGGTGGCACCCCGACGGAGAGAACACAAGGCAGCCTGGCGCAGCTCTCTAATAAATAATTCTCTTTCGCTACTAGCTCCTGCCAGACTGCCCTCGCGTCGACAGTCTCAGTAACATCATAGACGGACGCCGCCTCTGCAGCAGCAGCACAATTACAACAGTCATGATTAATAACGACCTTACGTCGTTAAGCATGTCATCCGCTCGTTAGCGACGTCTGGCCGACTGCAGTGACTGCGTTCCCTCTGCCGGCTTTCTTCTTCCCATGATCGTAAATATACATAATACCTCTGCCAGAGATGACTTCGACGGACAAACGCGACTTTGTAATTTACTGTAAATTAGAAAACAGAAGTTATCGTGGCATGCTTATTGTGAATGAGTGCGTGCATGCTTGTGTGTGTGAGTGCATGTGTCTGCATGAGTCGGTGTGTGCGTGAGTGAGTCCGTGTGTCTGCGTGTGTGTGTGTGTGCGTGCGTGAGTCCGTGTGTGTGTGTGTGTGTGTGTGAGTGCGTGCGTCCGTGTGTGTGTGAGAGTGCGTGCATCCGTGTGTGTGTGAGAGTGCGTGCATACGTGTGTGTGAGTCGGTGTGCGTGCGCGCGATTGAGCGTGTGCGTGAGTGCGATTGAGTGTGTGCGTGCGTGAGTCCGTGTGTGTGTGTGTGAGTGCGTGCGTGCGTGCATGTGTCTGCATGAGTCCGTGTGTGTGTGCATGCGTGAGTGAGTTACAGTTGGGTACACACCGACAGTGCTGCCAGCACGTGTCCTTGCGTACCGACTGCCATCTAAAGGCATATCCAGAAAGCACTGCTGACACGACGGCTCTGCTT